AATCTTTCTCATTTTAGAAAAATTATTTCTTTTGAAAAAATTTCTCAAATCCTCAGTTTGAGTCCAAACACACCCGGAGGTGCATCCGAATCCTTCAAACCAAGGCTCTGATACCAACTTGTAACACTGTAAATTTTCAAACCAAAATTTTCATTTTAAAACATAATAAAACACATGTCACATTTTCTCAAAAATCACAAGTATCAATTTATCAACACATATTTCAAAATTGTTTATCACAAATCTAGGATCCTCCAAAAACATATCTCCAACTTAGAGGTGTGTACAATCAAGCAGGTTCCTTCCCGCGATCTTGAGAAGTACCTGAAACACATAACACATAACATGGTAAGCACAAAGCTTAGTGAGTTCCCCAAAATACCACACACAACTCATTAGCTACTTGAGGCTGTAACTCAATAAGACCCTTTGGTTCATGCGTCTCAGTGGGACCCTCTAGGTCCCACAGCTCGGGTGGACCCTCCGGTCCTAACTCAATAACCTCATAATAATACACAACATAACTCACAAAGACATAATGCAAGATATCATAATACTCGATATAAACAGATAAGACCCCCCGATCACACAACTCAGATTACCACTCTAGGTATGTATAGTGAAAAGACTCACCTCATAAGAACTTGGATAACCTCAAACTCAAATCACCGGTCTAGCCTCTGCCTAACACATACGATAATTATCCCTAATTAATAACAACTCTCAATGAAGCTAGACTAACCCTTCTACAACTCACAGAAGGGTAAAAGACCATTTTACCCCTCCATGGCCTTAATAGTCCACAAATTGACCAAACCCTAAAAGTCAACCAAAAGTCACGGCAGCGCGTACGCTGCGCGTGCCAGCTCTTTACACTGGGCGTACTCCGCTGTCATGCAGGCATCGAGGATCCTCAACCCCTACGCTACGTGCAATGGGATTGCGCTCAGCGTACGTCCCAATTTCACTCTTTCCACTCATTTGGTCTTAATTAGTTAAGACCTTGGCTCATATCATAGATCTGGACTCCCTCAAGGCTCTTACTCCATAAACTCAGTGACTTTAAGCCTTTAAATGGTTGATAAGGTCACAAACACCCAAAACTCTCACTCTCTTATCTCAAAATGCTCATATCTCATGCATGGCTTGATTCTTATGTCCAAGTCTCAATTTTTATGACACTACACCACTAAAGACACTTGAAGGAGCTGCTCATAGTCTCTGGAGCACAACATCTCATAAAGTCTCCAACTTTTGGGACAAAAACCCCAAAATGCTCTAATATGATGCACAAATCAAAAGAGTGAGAAAGCTTGGAGCTTTATACCTCTAGATGAAGCTCCCAACACAGATATGCTCAGATCCAAGGCATGGACTCTCACTCCTTCTTCTCCAAAGTTCCTTATTCACTCCAAGATCACACAAAATCACTTAAAGGCTCTCAAATGGAATCAAAAACTCTATGAACGAAGGTTTAGGGTTTTTAGAGGGTTGTTTGTCTGAGGATGGTGGCCATGAATGAGGCCATCATATACTTTATATACAGACACACCCCAAATTAGGATTTTTTACTCTGGGCCTAGTATGCCCAGCGTACTAGGTGGTTTCGCGTCAATAACATGCACATGAGTACGCTGAGCGTACACTCGCGTACTCCCTACATACCCATTTGCCACCTTTTTCTCTATAAGGGCTAAACATGACAAGTACCAAAAGAACAAGGGTTTATAAGGTATACCTGGACTTGGGATGTTACACTATCTTAGAGAAGATTGTGGCTCCATGTAACTCATCAAGTAGTTCGTCGATCGTGGGTATCGGAAAGCGATCTTGTACCATTACTGCATTAAGTGCTCTGTAATCTACATAAAATCACCATGATCCATCTTTTTTCTTTACTAATAGGATGGGTGATGAAAAGGGACTTTGACTGGAGGGGGTATGACACCATTTTGGAGCATTTCTATGATTAGACATGTCATTTTTTATGGTGTTGTGGGTAACGGTAAGGTGTTACATTAACTGTGGTGTTGGGGTTTGTTAAGGGAATGGTGTGGTCGTTAGGTCTCGATGGTGGTAGCGAGTTGGGTTCAAGGAAGATATATGTAAATCATTGGAGTATGGAGTTTATTATCGGGTTGCAGTGGTTGTTCTGGATTGTTTCCGGTGTTGGTTCAAGTGATGTTGGATTGTAATTGAGGATGTGTAACGAAGTAATGGTGCCTTGGATCAATAGGTTAGGTAAGGTACTAGGTGATACGTGTTGACTCCAAGATTCTTCTGTTAATGTGCATGTTTTTCCCTCGTGCATGAATTTAATCTATAGAATTGAGAAGTCTGTTGATAGACGTCCCAATGTACTCAGCCATGTAATACCCAATATCACATATGCTCTTTCTACTAGGAGAACGAAAATCGGTACCTATAATCAAGAATTTGATAATTGAAGGCAAACGTTGGGGCAAAATCCTTGTCATTGGCTGTACTAGCTGTTCCCTACCATTATTGAAAATGTTTGGACAAATTGGGGATCAAGGTTCAGGAATGAAGCGACCCTTGGTTGGACGATGTTACGCATACTCCCACAGTCGATCAGGACTTTCAACGGTTTGTTGGCGATGTATCATGTTATACAAAGTGTTTGAGGTGATGAGATCCCAAAAAATGATGCATCTAATAGTGACAAGAATTTTGGTGGCTGCTGCTCTTTAATGTTGGTGAATGTCGTTTCTCCATTCATTGTATCTTGGACGCCGTTCTCCACAATCAGAAGGAATTGCAGTGGTGAGCATTTATGGCCTGGAACGTACTTTTATGGGCATTTGAAGCAGAGTCCTGCTTTTCGTCTTTCTTGTAGTGCGTCAGCCGATACGCAAGTGAATGGTAGTGTGGGGTTTGTTTTCATGAGTGTGGGGATGGTTGGGGAAGACTGAGGGGAGTTAGGCGATACATTAGGTTTGGTTGTTATACTTGTGGATTCTATTGACCAACTGGGTTTGAAGTTGTTAATGGGTCGTGCCTTGGGTGTTGGCCCAAGTTTATCTTCTATTAGTTTCGCCAATGAGCAAGCCTAATGAAGGGAAACGGGCGGAAGGATGGTGAGTTCATTATGTATATCATGGTGAAGCCCGGAGACGAAACAGTTCTTTAGACTCTGTTGAGAGAGACCATTGACCCGGTTGCTGATGCGTTCAAATTCGGTTTGGTATGCTGAAACAGTGGAGGTTTGTTGTAATTTGAAGAGTGTAGCCTCATGGGTTTCGTATGAAGATGGCCCAAAACAGAGTTCTAGTTCTCTTTTGAATTGAGTCCAGGACCCTGACCCTAGCAGGTCTTTTTGAGCTAGGTGTTTGTACCATGAAACAACTTCTCCGGTGAAGTAGAATGTTGTGAAGGAAACACGTTGGGTGGGTGGTACTTGATAGAACGTGAAGTAGTTACCAGCCTAAAAAATCCAATCTAATGGATTGGATCCGCCGAATAAGGGCAATGTTATTTTGGGTGGCCCTATGGTGTTGTGGTTTGGGTGCACAACTGGTGGGTTGTTGTGTGGTTGGCGTAGATGGAGGATATGTTCTGCCGAATCGTCGATCGTTAATTGGTCAGATTGGGTTGTAATGTGGTTTACCAGGTTGGCGGTTGTTTCATATTGGGACTCAAATTTAGTTGTTAATGTTTTCGTTGCTTTAATTAGGGTACTGAGGTCGTTATTGTGTTGTAGCGCGACGGTGTTTGTAGCGGCGATGAGTTCTGTCAGTTGGTCTGCTATGGTGGGTGGAGGGTCCTCTGATGTGGATGAGATGTCTTTTCTTGGTAGCATGGTGGAGGGTTGCGACGTGAATGAAAGCACCAATTGTTAGGTTAACCCTGAGAGGGGGTAAGGCTCCAAGAACGTTAATGAGTATAAACAAGTTGAAGCAATTTTTTGATATCCTCTTTATTCATGAATTCCTAGTTTAAATAAGGAAAGTGGTAAGACTTCTTTAATCTTCGAAACGTGCTGGCCTCTCGGTGATCTTTTTAGGTCGTTGATAGCTTATTGGATCAACTGCAATGGGCTGAGAGCCTGAGACATTGGGCTCATAACATGGAGGGGCACCCTTTTTCATGTTTTGGAACACATCTTGCAAATGGAGCATGTGTGACGTTTTATTATTGAGGAAAAAATTTTCCAATTCATCCCATTAATCCTTAGTGGTACAATTGTCAGCGAGAAATAACAACAATAGAATAGAGTATGTTTGGATCAAAGTAGAATAGAACCAAAATTTGACTTTTGAGTCAATATCATCCCAATCTTCATCATCTTCGTATGTGATTGGGATTTTCCTGTTATATGACCAACAACTTTGGCTCATTTGTAGATATCAGTAAAAATACGTCGCCAAAGTTTAAATTTTGACGTGTAAAGTGACGTGGCTGTACACATTTGTGACAACATAAACAAGGGTTTGAGCAGTAGGGGTCGATGTGGAGGAAGATGACAGGGTGATCATGATTTCAGAAAATCTAAAAAAAAAAAAAAAAAAGATCCTACACTATACATAATATAAAAACTAAACATAAACTAACATATACGAACACGTCTAATATATTTGATAGCGTTTGCTCCAAATGGTATGCTAGTTTTTTTCCTTGCCTATTGCTGATATTTTCTTACATCATTGTGTATACACAAGTGCTCGTGTTTTTCTTAGCCGAGGTTAGCCGTTTTATCTTTTTTCAATTTTTTTTTTATGTTTTTATTTCAATTTTGTTTGTCGGATATCTTCTTTGAAAACGATTTCGATCATCTCTACCCCATAAGCAACTACTTGGGTGTTATAAAATTAATTTTTTTTAACACTACAAAACAAAATACTAGAAAAATAGAAATTTACCCTAATTTAGTCAACTACATAAAAGAACATCACACACTATCAACATACAAGTCTTAAAGTCAACTATCTACGAAGTCAAAAAAAAAAAATCACCTTAAGAGTTAAGACATTCCTAATTTCCTACCATGGTTCATTAACCTTTTCTTGAAACACAACCTCATTCCCCTCCACTTTCTCTTTCAAACTACCTAAAATAGCATCAATCTTCCTATTACTTTCTTTCAAATCCGCAATTTTCGCCTCCAAAATCTTCATTGTGATTCCATTTCGGTTTCGTTCCTCAATAGCCTCCATGTATTTTTTCACATTTTCGGAATCAAACACGGCTTTTTCAAGCATACGAATCCTATCGCGTAAAAACCCTACTTTCATTCCCATAAGTTCAAAAGACTTCAAGGAACTATCCCACGCATCGAATTCCTCCTTAGTTGTCGTGGGCTTGCAGTTCTTGATCGCGTTCGCGATATTTACGGTTTCACCAATCATCCCCGCCACCAACTTATAATACAAACCTTCCGGAAGGTTATCGTGAAGCAGTTCTTTTTTCGCGTTACATAATTTATAGTAATTTATTCGGATTTCTTCTGAGAGTTCTGAGTCAATGCATTGTTTGTTGACCGTAATGCGAAAGTCTTTGAAGGTTTTGACTTTTTTTGATGAAAGAGCTTGTTGATGTGGACCCCCTTTAGCTTCTGAGTTGACATGAGATGTCAACTCAAAAAGGTGTGTAGGGGGTTCAGATCTTTTGTAGACCAGTTTTGATTTGACTTTCTGTACTGGAAGATATGGTTGATGTGGACCCCCTTCAGAATCTGAGTTGACATTCAACTCAGAAGACTGTGTAGGGAGTTCAGATCTTTTGTAGACCAATCTTGATTTGACTTTCTTTGATGGAAGATCTGGTTGATGTGGACCCCCTTTAGAATCTGAGTTGACATTCAACTCAGAAGACTGTGTAGGGGGTTCAGATCTTTTGTAGACCAATCTTGATTTGACTTTTTTTGACAGAAGATCTGGTTGATATGGACCCCCTTCAACTTCCGAGTTGACATTCAACTCAAAAGTCTGCGTAGGGGGTTCAGATCTTTTGTAGACCATTTTTGCTGCATAGATATCGTGTCAATTAACATTAAAAAAAAAAAAAAAAAAAAAAAAAAAAAAAAAGTGGTTTAAATTGAATTGATGATGATGACAAACCTTGAATCTTGTGATTTTTATTTGTATTGTGGTTTAAAAGGTTACGAGAACCATCAACTTGTTTCGATTCATTCGCCCTTACAATATAAACCTAAAAATAGATCCAAAAAATCGATTAACTTACATTGTGATGTTTTATATTTTTCTTTAATAAGTCAAAAAAAAGTATGATACTAGCTGAATTGCTAGATAATATAATTAAAATCCACAGATAAAAATAACAAGATTTGTACCTTAAATTTGTTGGATTCAACTAACTGGAAAACCAAAACATCTCCTTCAAGCAACTTATGTATAATTGCAAAGTTCCTCCATCCTGCACTAAGTCCAGTCTTATGAGCTATATATTTAAGCTTATATTGTTGTCCATTTTCATCTTCAATCACCATTAAAGTTTCTTGTTTTGGTAGAAATGATCTGCAAAAAGGCACTGGAAGACCCTGCAAACAGAAGTTTATTACAAAAAGAGAAAGAAATTTCACAAGTTATATAGTGAAATTAGTCAAATTACCATCCAAAAACAACTAACAACATGTGATTTGAGCATGATTTTTTTAAAGGTAGGATGATCAGATCCGAGGCTTGATTGAAGCTCCCCTGCTCGAATCATAGTTGGTGAGATTTGAGCTGGAGGGTCCGATGGATCATGTTTCGCCTGATAATGAAAACAGTAATCTTTTTCAACTATGTGTTAACGTAACTGAAATTAATCACTTCATTCATGGTGTTAGGGTTTTTCATCAACAGTTTTGGGGGTTTATACTTGTAGAGTTATACTCCTACTAAAAACCATAAATTCTAGCTTGATAAACATCACAGTATGAACAGATCGCGAAGTATTTAACTATCGTTTTTGATGTTGAGAATTTTGACTAACTAAACTCGTAATGTTAGATGATTCCGTTGGTAGAACAGATGAAACACAACAATTTAAGAAAATAAACTCGAAATATGATCACCTTATGTTTTGAAGATGAACGTTTCTTCTCTGCATTGTTTGAAGGAAAATCGTATCTCGAGGTCTTCAACCTCTTTCGTTTACCCTGTGATTAACACGACCAGATCTAACCATTAATGGATCAAATCATGCAGACACAAAAAGAATTGTGTATATATGGAGAGAGAGAGAGAGAGAGAGAGAGAGAGAGAGAGAGACCGATAATTTAGTTAAAGGTGTAACAGGAGCAAACGGAAAGCCTATAGATGGTGGCAGTTGAGCGATAGTCACAAGGGCATCTACTGAAGTGGGGGTTTTCAGTTCATTATTTGCGAGGTGAAGATCGGAACTTCCTTCATCACTCGTCGGAGGATCTGCCATAGTTCGGAGACGGGGGGAAACCGAGAAGGACGAAGAAGGGTGATAGAACACACTCTGTTGAAGCTTTTACACTTTTCTTTACCAAACAAAGACTATTTTTTTGTCGGGAAAATATCAATGATTTTCTGCATTTTTACTAATAAATTGATGTCACATTAAAGGGCAAAATTAAAAAAATGGTCCAGTGTTTTAAAAATGATATGGTTTTGATCCAAAAATGTTTGGTAGTGTATTAGTAGTCTATTTTTGAATATTTTATGCGGATTTAATCTTTATGTTGTTAATTTTAACTGGTTGATTTTTAACTTTTTTCTTATAACTATTCTACCATTTTGTGATTGAAACTTTTTACCAAACCATAAAGATAATTTTTGAATATCTTGTTTTTAACTTTACTGAGATATAATATATTAGTTTTTTTTAATTTCTTTTTATTTGATTATTTTTTTATTAGATTATTATATATTTTACTAATAAATTGATGTCACAATAAAGGGCAAAATTACAAAAATGGTCCCGTGTTTTAAAAACTATACAGTTTTCGTCCAAAAATGTTTGATAGTGTACTAGTGGTCTAATTTTGGATACCTTATTCAGATTTAATCTTTATGTTGTTAACTTTAACTGGTTGATTTTTAACTTTTTTTTTTAAATAACTATTCTACCATTTCTACAATTGAAACTTTTTACCAAACCATAAAGATCATTTTTGCATATCTTCTTTTTAACTTTACTGAAATATAATATATTAGTTTTTTTTAATTTCTTTTTATTTGATTATTTTTTTATTAGATTATTATATATTAATAAATACTATTTTTAATATATAATATTTAAAATATGGATAATGTTATTGGAGTATTGATTTGTTTTAATTAATTTTTTTTAAGTTCTTTTTTATTAGATTAATTCTTTTTTATTAGATTATTATATATTAATAAATATAAACTTTATTATTATATAATTATATATACTAATGAATATTACCTTATGGATTATTAACCTTTTTAGTTTTTTTTTAATTTCTATTGTATTAATTCTTTTTTATCGGACTGAGTTTTGAGATATATTCTGGACAAAATCACCATTTTCGAACCAAGTGATAGTGGTGGTATTATCCAAAATATTTTATCTCTCATATATTTAAAATAAAATAGAAGAGGTGGGTTTTCAAGCCTTGTTCTTAAATTTTGTTAAATTAATTTATTTTAGTTAATTTCTTTTTTAAAACTTTTTTATTATATTTATTCTTTTTTTGAATTGTTATATATGATTAAATAATATTTTAAATATATAATATTAACATATTAATGAATATTATTTTATCGGACTACTGATATTTATAATTATTTTTTAATATTTATTTGAATTATTATACATTAATAAACAGAAAATTAAGTAATCTAACAACATTTTAATGTGTATTTGAAAAAAATAACCAAGTTTTTAGCAAAAATAACCACTTCGTTCGAAATGAGCATTTCGAACGATAGCATATGTGTAACACCCCGTTCTTAAAATATATATTGATGGGTTCCCGAGATCAAGAGTAAGGGCGTTTCGGTCTTTCATGAACGATGGGTTATTATTCGGGAAGGTTTCGGATCCTGGTGTGCTGCTAGAAGCGAATATCTTCTCGCCACCTTTTTGTAGATATAAAGTTCAACATAATCGGATCTAGAATGAAGAAGTTATGATGCTTAAAAGACATTGACATTTATGGCCCATAATGGGAAGAAGTGAAGACAAAGACCATGCATGCAAGATGGGACACGCGTGGGTACGCCCAAGCGTAAGCTGGGTTATGCCCAGTGTAATGGGGGAAGTTGGACGTGGATGTTCAAGGCGTACGGCCAACGTACAAGGAGTATGCCTAGCGTACACTCAGAGTCTCAAAACCCTAAATTTAGGGCCAGCCACTATATAAGGACCATAAGGGTTCTCACCCTAGCCTCCACAAACACTCTCTCCTCCTCAGAAGCCCTAGATCGTCGTTCCACCTCCTTTGTTGGGTGTGTTTGACCTTGGAAAGCTTGTTTTGGAAAATGAGAGCCAAGAAGAAGAAAGTGGAAGTTGTCAAAGAAGGAGTGGGGTGGCTGGAGCTTGTAGATCTGGAAAGGGATCATCTTCTAGAGCCTTTTTGAGGAAAAAAGTCTCTAGATTGACAATCATATGGTGTAGATCTATGTGTTGTGAAGTTTTGACACCATTCTTGTCCCAAAAACCTCATCTTGATGCATGATTCGAGTTGGCTGAGATTAGCTATCCTTTTAGACCTTAGGATAGGTCTTAAGTAAGAAAAATGAGGTCCTAAGGGCTTTGGTTGTCTCATATGTGATATAGATAGGTCTTAATGGATTAAGACCTTGGATTAAGAGCTTTTTGGACGTCCCAAGTGATAAAGTTTGAGACTTTATGGATCCTAGGCATGTTTGGTAGATGGATCTGAAGTTTGGGCTTAAGAGTTTAAGCCATTAAGGACTTATGAGGACATTTAGTTCAGCGAGTTTACTCCCCGCGTAAACTGATGTACGCCCCGCGTACTCACCATTCTGCCTGTACGCTTAGCGTACATTGAAGTACGCCCCGCGTAATCTGTGTCACACCCCCGAACCAGACGACGGAAACGTCCGAGGGCTATCGTGACTCAATTGAATACCATCACAATGCATATACATGAAACATAACATTATACATCACCAACATTTGGAATGATACAACTGATAGCGTTTACATCCATTACATTGTTCCAAAACATGACATTCTCAAAAATAACTATTTGATACTAAATTAAACCACAGCAAAACGTCTTAGAGTACAATTCATCCTCCACTTTATCTGTTACCTGAGAATACAAGTATTTTGAAAAAACGTCAACATATGAAATGTTGGTGAGTTCATAAGTAATGTTTGAAATCCAATGTTTGTAATGTTTTGAGAAACACCAGAAAATCCGATATTTTCTGAAAATAGTAAAGTCAAAAATGTGTGAAGATCCATAGGTATGCTTGTTTGTTTCTATACTTGTAAAATTTGTTCATTTAAAATTTGTGTGTATTCCGAATCCGTATGTATTGAAATACCCTAGGAAAACCCGATGTTTTCCTAATTCGTACATTGAAACAATTGCAACGTGTGAAGTTGTCGGTACCAGGCGACGTTGGATTATTGTTGAGCATGATTATTTGCTACAAACACACGTTACACAAACGACTAGTCTATAGCGATACTAACGATCCCGTAGGCGTCGTCCGTACTAATCACGTTCTCCAACCGCCCTGACTACGTGTAGTCCCACATCCGAAGAGAATGAGGACACAAAGGCCTCAGTAACTCCATTAGTCGGTTGGGGATAAAAGGTACGAGGGGTCCCAGACCCGCCTCGCATGAAAATGTAGACTTTACTAGCAATACCAAAGGACCCTTGGGGACCAGTAGTATACGAGCCATTGAAAGTCCTTTTACGTTATGTCGGGTCGGTAAAACCCAACACTTCGTAAGAGAGAGGTCTTCGGGCCTTAAGATCAGGTCATTGGGCTAGCTAGGCTCAACGAACAAGATTTTACACTTTTGGGGCCCAAAGGTGGTGCGTAGACGTCTGTGCACACTCGCATGTATAGTGACTTCCCAATCGTTATTGTAATGTCGTAATGTCATAGTGTCGTCGTGTTAGTAATTTCGGATTTTTATTGGTTCGAGACCGAACCAATTCGTTTGACAACGACTTTTGGTGTTGTAATGTATTGTATTTCGTCGATAGTCGTGGTATCATCATTTGATCAAATTGCATGTATTGAACTAGTCTTGAGAATTTTTCTGTTTTCAGCCCCTCATTATTTGTAAAAATTTACTTTTTCAACCCTTTATTTAAAAACTTTCCGGTTTGGTCCTTAAATCAATTTTCTTGACATTTTAATACCAAAAATTATTGAAATAAGTATTTTCCAGCATATTTTTCATAGAAAATAGCTTAAGTCCCTGAATTTCAGTTTTTCTCGGTTATAACCCTTCTTTTTCGAAAGTTTGACAATTTTGGCCCAAATTGAAAATTTTTTGCAACTTTAGTCCCTTTTAAATTTAAAAAGCATTTTAAACCTTTGAAAAGGACTTGGAACACTTATAGTCCACTGTTTTACAGAAAAATACAGTTTTGACCCTCCAAAACAGAAAATCTCGCATAATGGGCCTCATTGGGCCTAAAATGTCATTTTTAGCCCATTAAGCTTGAAGTTTATGTTTTTAATCCTCTAAATGAGTATATTTCCAGAAATTGCTTTATTGAAACTGTTTTGACATAGTTCAACCATCAGAATTCGTGATTTGTCAATTTAGGCCCTTAAAGTTTGTATTTTTCGCATTTTAGGTCCAAAAATGGTGTTTTTAGCTCAAAGAAATTGTTACTAAACCATATAGCCATTTTTCTAGAAATACTTTGTATGTAGAAATATAATTGATGCTAGAGTCTTTTAACTTGAGGTATATTTCGGTTTTGAGGGGTTTTATGGCTAGATCCAACATTATAACACACAAAAAGCACACATATAAGCATGGAATCATACAAAGCATACAAAATACATATAGATCTACACTTTCACTTGTATTCCCCCCCCCCCAAAAAAAAACTCATGAAAACCGAAAATAGGGGGTATGAAGCTCACCTTAGGATGTAGTTTTGGTTTTTGAAGAGAATATGGAAGAACACTTGGTGATTTTTGGCCTTAGCACTCTTTCTTGAAGATCTCGAGTTTGAGTGTTTCTAGGGTGTAAGATCATGATTTTTGCATGGATTAGGAAAAGATTTTGATAACAAAAAGAATCTAATTCATAGATCCAAGCATAATCTTACCTTAGATGAAGAATTTGTGGAAATTTCTTCTTGAATGCTTCCTAATTTTCGAGATTTTGAGGGGAGAGGAAGGAATGTTCTTGAGAGAGCTTGAGAGATTTTTGTGAGTGTGTGTGTGTGAGTATGGCCGAGAGTGAGAGAGAGGAGAGGATAGAAGTGATTTTGAAGTGATGTTGCATGGAAATATGGACTAAATTGCATGGATATCCAAGGGACAATAATGAGGTGGCATACTAAAGTCAATTCTCTTCTTATCTTCTTGGATTTGGGCCTTGGGCCGAGATTTTTGGGAGGGAAAGAAAAAAATTGGGCCTTGCCCCTAAGACCACTATTAGAGTTAATCTTAGGTATT